GGTGTTGTGCGTTCTGTGGGTTTGGACAAATGTATAATGACATGTAGGCATCATCATAGTATCATACAGAGTATTTTCACTGCCCTAAAGTTCCTCTGTGTTCTGCCTATTTATCTCTTCCTGTTCCCAATCCCTGGCAACCACTGATCTTTTTACTATGTCCATAGTTTTGCCTTTTTCAGAGTGTTATATAGTTGGGATCATACAGTATGTAGTCTTTTGAGCTTGGCTTCTTTAATTTAGTAATATGCCTTTAAGTTTCCTCCAGGTCTTTCATGTCTTGATAACTCATTTCTTTTTAATGTGGAATAATATTCCATTGTCTGGATGTTTATTTATATATTTACCTACTGAAGCACAATCAATCAGTCACCTGGCCACATCCTTGGTGTTTTCTTCTGACCATGCTTTCTTATTTTTTACAGTATATATAGACCGGGAATTTTCCAGATTTTCAATTTCTGCTTCCCTTTTCCAGAAAAATTCTGTCTTTAAGTATAGTCTCTTTTTTCACATTGTACTATAAGCAGTCAGAAGGAGCCAGGTTGTACCTTCAATATTTTCCTTAGAAATATCTTCAGCTAAATACCTAATTTCATCACTTGCAAAGTTCTACCTTCCACAAAAAACTGGAGCATGAACATGATTCAGTCCAGTTTTTTGCTGCTTTAGAACAAGGATTGCCTTTCCTCCAGTTTCCAAACACATGTTCCTTATTTCCATCTGAGACCTCATCACAATGGCCTTTCCTGTCCATATTTCTAAACATTTTGTTCAGCATTCCTTAGGTATTCTCTAAGAAGATTGAGACTTTCTCTACAGCTCTCCTCTTTTCTCTCTGAGCTCTCAACAGCTCAGAACAGGCTGTTCACAGCAGTGTAGGACTTTTTCTAGCATGTGCCTCAGATCTCTCCCAGCCTCTACCCATTACCTGGTTCTAAATTGCTTGCACATTTTTGGGTATTTGTTACAGCAGCACCTCACTTCTCAGTACCAATTTCTTAATCCTCACGCTGCTATTACAGAATATGATAGTCTAGGTGGCTTAAACAACAGACATTTATTTCTCACCATGCTCGAGGCTGGGAAGTCCAAGATGAGAGCCCAGGCAGATTTGGTGTCATGGTTCGCAGATGGCCATGCTCTTGCTCTTGTTAATCTTAAAAATAAAACTGGCAGTTATTTTTCCAGCAAAAATGGGTTTATTTGGGAATAACAGAGAACAGCAACCAGGACATGCAAGCTATGGCAAAACTATAGGCAAGTCCAACCAAAAAGGGAGAGGAATGTTATTTTATGGAGATGAAGGAGGAAGTTGAGAGGGTTTGTTTTGAATGAAAGACCATTGGACAAAAGCAAGAGTTCAGAGTGATGATGGTTTCTCATTGGCTGAGTTGCAGGGGTAGTCGATTTCTTATAGACAATTCAGTGGACAAGTGGCCTTTGAACAACACAGGTTTGAACTGCACGGGTCCACTTATACTTGGAAATTTTTCAATAAGTACAGTACAGTACTATGAATGTATGTTCTCTTCCTGATGACTTTCTTAACATTTTCTGTTCTCTAATTTCCTTTATTGTTAGAATATGGGTATATAATACATCTAAGATACAAAATATGACCATGCTTTCTTTCATTAATAAATTGACTATTGATGTTATTGGTAAGGTTTATGGTCAACAGTAGGCTATCAGTAGTTAAGTTTTTGGGGAGTCAAAAGTTATATGTGGATTTTCAACTGTGTTTTGGGGCAATGGTGTGGTTCAAGGGTCAACTGTACATCTTTTCCTGTAGGGCCTATAATCGATCATTATCTCCTGTTGCTAATTCTTCTTTTGGGTCTGTAATTGACAGTTCTTTTGTAATTCACACCGAGTGGTATGACTTTTCCTTCTAGTCTCCTGACTCTACTTTAGTGGGGTTTCCCTTTATTAATTTCCACACTCATAATACCATCATACTGGGGTTAGGATTTCAACATGTGAAACTTGGGGGGACATAATTATTTAGTCTTCAGCCAATAGTATTGTTTTAAGTTTTTACTAAAAATATATTTATTAAATAAACACTGTAGCAATAGTAACAGGGAACAAATAAGTATTTAAAGAACTCAATCTTACCTTCATCCTTATAAATCTATTTGGTGATCTTTAATTGTGTTTGGTGGCTCAGCTACTATTCAGTCTTCATTTTTCTATGATCATTAGTTCTCTGTGCTCAAAATTTTGCAAATTGTATATTGGTAAAGATATATTTCATGGTATAGTTAAGGCTTAAGGAAGAAATGCTTCTTAATTAATTAAAAGAAAATGAGGATCTCCCAAATTCTAAACTTGCTGAATATCATGTCACTAATCTAAAATTTTGAAAAGCTTTTTTCACATTATACTTGGTAACACACATTGTTACTTCACATTACTTATCCACTCCCCAACTCAGTTTTTCCCTGCAAAAACAAAACAAAACAAAACAAAACAAAACAAAACAAAACACCCAAGCAAACGTACCTTCATAGTTATCAACTATGTTGTTGACACATCTCTGCTCAAAATCCTTTGCCCCTCGCTCACAGCACCATTGCAAATTCCCTTTCTATAGTTTGAGAAACACTGATGCATTATTTATAACACTAACTTTGCTTTTGCCCTGTGAAAGGGAAAACAAACATTTAAAATAGTTCATGTGTTATCTTTTTAGTAGCATTCATTACCAAACAAGCAAAAATGTAAATAGAATAAACCCCATTATAGTATTTTGCTTGAGATCCATTTTAGCCACAATCCTATTATATGGAAGCAGTTATCTGAGAGATTCATTACATTTTACAACCACTTATTCATTGCCTAACATTTTTCAGATATCATGTTAGGCCTGGTAGGGAGAATAAAAAGAAAACCTACAAACTACTGGCTTTGGTCTCCCAGCACCACACAGCAGTGATGGAAATGATGGAAGTGCTCTCTGTGCTGATATGGCAGCCACTATGTGGCTGTTGAATGCTTGACTTGTAGCCAGTGTGTCTGTGGAGCTGAACTGTTACTTTAATTTTTCCTAATAGCATCTCTACTGAGATATAATCCACAAATCATACAATTTACCCATTTAAAGTGTACAATTTGGTGATTTTTGGTGTATTCACAGAGTTGTCCAGCCATTACCACAATTTTGGAACATTTTCATCACCCCCACAAGAAACTGCGTACTCATTAGTAGTTACTCCCCAAATTCTCCCAAATGTCCTCAGCCATGGTTGGCCGCTAAGCTTTCTGTCTCTATGGATTTGCCTATTTTGGACTTTTCATACAAATGCAATCACAGTATGTGGTCTTTTGTGATTGGCTAATTTAATTTTAGTTTAATTAAATTCAATAGCCACATGTGCCTAGTGACTACCATTAGAAGGAAGTGTAGTGAAGGACCACATACAGGTCCTTAAGGAATGCTGAAGGCTAAGGAGAAGAAAATCATGAAAAGGGGGCATGCGGAATACAGGTCAGAGAGATTGGAGATGAACCCAGATGGAGCCTAGAGATAAGACAGATTCCTGGAGGAAGGGATGGTTAACAGTACCAAGTAATACAGAGGGATCCAGAAAGAATAGTGTCAGTGTAGTGATGGGATAAGAATCCTGATGACAAAGGGCACTAGAATGTGGTGTTGGTGAAGAAGTACAGGCAGGTGGAACTTTTATATCATGTAGAGATGGAGGGAAGGAAGGAAATTTCAAGATAGTTTTGAGAAGCGTGTCAGGACTGATGGGAATTTTGTTTTGTTGCCGTTAATATTTTTAGTGTAGGCCTAAGCCTAATTGGAGGCAGAAAAAAAGGACCCAGTGGGAATGAAGAGATCACAGATGATTGAGCAGGGTTCTGAAGGATGTGAGTAAAGATGGGACTGGGGTTACATAGGAGCAAGCCCTGGCAAGGAAGATAGAAGTCATCTTTCTCAGAGGCGGCAGTAAGTGAAGAAAAAGTAGGTGAAAGTACAGAACAATTTTTACATAGAAATGAAGGAAACTAAAGGAACTCATTTACTTAAGAAAATGGGAATGAGGCTTCTGAGGATAGGTTCCGTTCCTCTAGCCAGCACTGTGATCAGATGTGGAGAAGGGAGTTCTCCAGAGAGTCTAGGGCTTTGGGAGGTGGGAGGATCAATTACTTACATTCTTTTTGCTGCTCAAAGGAATATGTCTCCTAGAAGCAACAAACATTTTTCAGGTACATAAAACCACATGAGATGCAGAGATCCAGATGTGCCAATTTTCACTTACTGAAAAGTGATGATTGTCCAAGAGTTTACATTTGAGATCTTCAAAGACGAAATGTATCAGCTTATGCATCCTCCCTTCCACTCTCCCATTTCCTTTCCTTCCTTCCTTCCTTCCTTCCTTCCTTCCTTCCTTCCTTCCTTC